TTCAATTTTATGAGCTTCTGTAAGCTTCCCAAGGCGTATTCGGCGCCAGAACAGACCACTTGAAACGAGCCATGTCTTGTTGTTAAAATACAGAGTGACGAAGCCGCCAGAGTGTCCGACGATGAGGAATGAAGGGAAGAGCTCTCCGTGGCCAGAGATGTGTATGTGGACGTTGAAGGAGGAATGAGAGAGCTAAGATATGGCTCGGAGCCAACCACCGACGTGCGAATTGGGCTGGTGACGAGTGCAGCGAAACTCTGTTCGCCGACGACGAGGGTGCAGAGCAGGAGAGAGGTGTAATTGGTCGGAGCAGCTGGGGCGACGTCGACTCAACCACCGATGCCCACACATCCCAAATATTCCCAAGAAGCTCTTCCATCGAATGGATTGACTCGAATGCAGTCCTGATCGCGAATCCGAATCGGGCAAAACTTGCTCTGAAAAGGGTCAAATATGAAGCAAAAACCCACGAATGGGTCAGGGCAATTACATCTGAATCGGTGTCAATTGGAAGTTCAGAATCAAAGGGAGGGACTTTACGAAGCTGTGGGATCGTTCAATTTGCCACGACGAACCCTGAATCGAAAATACCCAATCTGGGTTTTTTGAACCAAAACGTGAAGAACAACAAGGGCGAGAAGTGAGAAGCGGTTTTGGGTTTTGAGCGTGATTCGATCCGTTCGAATGCTTATAATCATTTTTTGGGTGCCAAAGGATGGTGTAGATGCGCAGAGATTAGTACGAAATTGCCAGAATCACAATTCCCCGATTTCGCTTCTTGGTCGCCGGAAACTAGGTTTAGTTTGCTGGTTTCTGGAAACTTCAAAATTCCCACCGGCGGGAATTTCTGGGGCTTCGAATTGGGACGATTTGGGCGAAGTTTGACATGGATTAAGGACGAAAGCCCCAATCTCACAAAGCTCGTCGGCGTTTGCGGGTTCGCTGGATTCTGCAAATTTTTGGCCAGAAACTGGAAAATTGGAGCGACGAGTTTTGGGTACGTTTGATCAAATTTTTTACGTGGGAAAAGTCCATTGGATTCCCAAAAACGTTATGGAACTTGAATCGTGGAAAACAGCAACCAATTCGCGAGTTAACGAAGTGTTAAAGTTCGACATTACAAGTTCAAGGTACTTATTTCGTGACCCAATTTGGGAGGAATTTGGTGACGTTTTTGACAAGAAGCAGCTTCAAGCTTTGAGGTCAAAGCTTTTTGAAGAGGGTAAGCCTGATATGATCTCAATTGGATCAATCCACAATTCACAATGACTTGCCAAAGAAGTAATCTCAACTAACTTGAAGAATTCTGATTTTTGGCTAAGTGTTGAAACACTTTCAGGTACCCTACTTTTGAAACATGTATCTCACAAATGGCTCAATCAAAATGGCAGATAAAGAGCTTGTTTTGAAGATAAAGTTATTATCTCTACATTGGTGTACGTATTTTGGAGCTCAAGGAGATGTCTGGAAGGTGAAATAGGAAGTTTTCTTCTACAAAGGAAAGGAATTGGTTGAGTTAGAATCAACCTAGAAGACCACTTTCGAAGGGCTCAAAGATGCAATGAAGCCTGTTTTCCTAGGCAGACTTGCTTGTGTTTTAAGTCAGTTTCTTGACAAGCAAGTTACCTTGTTTTACACGAATTAATTAGCCTTTTTCTGTTCTAATTAGTTTCCTTATACATGTAGGGTTGTATTAGAATTATTTGGCTATAAAAAGCCTTCCTTTTCATTGTAAAATATAAGACTTTGATTAATCGAAAAACAAACCCTTTGGTTTTGTGCAAGTTGCGACTTGTTTTGAGTTTGGTGGATTCCAATCTTGTGAGATTTGTATCGATTTAATATTCTCTTCAATCGTGGTCGAGCAGCTACCCTTTTATACCATACGAGCTTTCCCCAGGCGTGTAATTGTCCGTTTGTTCCGTTTTATCCCAAGTTCGTATTAAGAACGCTTTGTTCTTGATTCGAGTTCAATCAATCTACGGATTGATTTATTGCTGCGTGACTTTGATAAAAAAATACCCCCCTCCCCCAGGGTTGTATTACATTGTTTCTTCTTCCACTTCTTGTCAACCCCAATCGAATCCCCTCAAGGCCATGTCTTCAAGTATCTCGGTGATTTGGGTCGGAGCCATATTCATCAATTTCTCTTGACACAAGGAGTCAATGAGGATCTTATCTTCTAGCATTAGGCCTCCGGAGAAGGTTTCAATCCGAAACTGCTCTTCAAAACCGTGGTGAAGGCATTGAAGATAGTAATCGGAGTACCTTTCCCAAGCATCCCTCAAGGTCTCGTATTCTTCTTACTCGACATGGGTAATCTACTTCCTCCACTCCGCCATCTTCGAAGGTTGGCAATCACGAGCCAAAACTGGTTGAGGAGGTCGTCCCATGAGGTGATTGACCGAGGTGGGTGGTTGTTTAGCCACCTAAGTGATTTCCCCAAGAGTGAGTACGGGAAAAGCCTTAGCTGCAAAGCTTCCGCCGCCACACAATTGATTTTCAAGCTCCCCGCGAGCTCCAAAAATCTCTGCACGTGCTCTCTTGGTGACTGGCTCTCAAGGCCATGGAATAGAGCATTTACTTTGTATCATGGTCATCAAAGCTGGCTTGATCTCGAAGTTGTTTGCCGCCACTGGAGGATGTAGGATTGGCGATTCAATATCCGTCGGCCTTGGAGCCATATAGTACCCCATCGTCCTCAGGGCTTCCTCGTCCTCCGGTGCATTGTTCAACTGACGATTTTGACTAGCTCCATCTTGCTTTTGGTTCCCCGCCATGTGCAATACAACAACGGGTTGAACTTCCACTTCTTCGACTACTTCCACTCCTACAACACTAACACCGAGATCCAACTGTTGTCCCCCTCTTTCACTCCTTCTCCTTGCCTCCGCTAGCTCTCTCTCCCGTGCTAGGAGTGGGAGAGTTCGGTTTATGTCCTCGTCAAGTGGTAGAAAAGGTGACGGGTTAATCCGGGTCATCAACCACCTACACACAATCGGAAAACACACCAAGTCTAGCACAAACAAAGCACACTTGCAAAGACTGGAAATTAAAAGCTAGATTAACAACCAACAACTTTTTCATGATAACAAACCATTGTTCCCCGGCAACGGTGCCAAAAACCTTGACTCATTCCGAATACCACAATAGTTTCCCGCCTAAGGTCCAAGTATAAACTTTAGCCAGGTGCAGTATAGCCTAATGTCTACCACTACTTCAGTCATTTGAATCATTATCTAGCAATCAAAGTTTTGGTTTAAAAGTTTTCTAATTAAAATAAACTAAGGCAAAGGTGATTGGTTTTCGAAAACTCTTTGTAGGAAGATCACTCGGGTGTCGCTTCCCCCTAACTCCTACCATGGTACGTGAACCGGAATGATCGCTTTGGGCAAGGCAAACACTAACCACTAAGGGACGCAAATGTGATCATAGACCACGCTCTAGATTGCTAAACCGAGGCATGCATTATAGGCTGTCACTAGGCCCTCTCGGTTTAGGCAATCAAAGGTTGACTTACTCCATCACTCAACCCAAGGGTTGGACGGTTAATTGCGCTTTACCAAATCGCTTAATAAGGTTTGCCCTAAATTAACCTAGTTAGAAGACTTAAAAATACCTAGGGATAGCAACTCAATCGAGACTCCCTTAGAAGGGGAGGTTTCCGTCTCTAAACTAGGTTAAGTGGCTAATTGGATTGCTAAGCATAGACATGCACATTCCTTAGGTTGCTAAGCACTAAACAGGCACAAGCCTAAGAATGCTAAGCATAAACATGCACAATCAAGATGAAAAATACCTCAATCATTTAAACAATTCCCAATGACAATCATTGAAATTTACATAAAGGAAACTACATGGTAGAGTTAGTGTTTCACAACACCCAAGTGAAAGGAACTCCACTCCATGCTAGAAATAGGGAAAACACAAGGAGAAAGGGAAGAAACCATCTTGGAGATGCTCCCACTCTTCTGGATCCTTGTACTGAAATTTCCTTGGTGAAAATCTTCCCAAAATCCACCTTGAAGCAAAACCCTAGCCTTCTTCTCCCTTGGTTCGGGTTTCTCTCTCTAGAATTCAGAAGAAGGTTTTTCACAGAAAGTGGGCTCTCCCCTCTCTCCTCCTTTCAGCTCATCTTTTAAACCACAGACGAGCTCAGTTCACGACCTGAGTTCACGGCCGTGAACCATCAAACGCGTCCGTGAACTTTAGGCGTGCGCCAAAACGCGCCACTTTGTTCACTCCCGTTTACGGCCTGCAACCTTCATTCACGGTCTTACTGACGTGAACACAACATGCGTCGGTAACTTCTGGAAATGCTCTGGACGCCATGCACTTCACGATCAGTAGCTCATCTTCACGGTCAAGCAATACCGTGAACTTCCTTAGTTAGCCGTGAACTGGCCCTTTTTCACCTCTTATCTCGGTTTTCGATCCTTTTCGTTCAACTTTCGACTCCGAGGATGGTTTCACCTGTTAAATCCTGAAACATGCTAAAACACGAGAAACCTAGCGTAAAACCAACCTTTTAGGAGCGAATTTGCCACAAACATATCTAAGTAAAACGGGGGTAAAACATGTACAATTAGGCCCGAATCAGAATGTCACTCACTGAGTTGCTGACGGGTCCCACCATGTAGGATGCAGTGCCTCTTTTGTCTACCAAAAAAAGTACAATTTTAACCCCCCTAGCCTTTTTACCCCAATCAATTCTCTTCAACCATTGGGAAAATGGGGTAAAAGGGCGAAAATAGGATTTTGGACAACCTAAATGGGGTCGTTTGGATGGGAGACTGTGGCAGGATTGTTGTTGAGGATTTTAAAACAATCCCACATAATAAGAGATTTTTACCAAATAACACGTTTGCAAAGAGCAGGAATTGTGGCTATCAGAGATTTTAAAAATCCACATATGTAATGTGGGATTTCAAAATAGCTGATGGGGATCAGCTATTTCGAAATCTCTCAATATTATTTTTTTACTTCCAGCCACTGCCCCTCTACCCCACTTCTTCCATCGTCATATCACCACACCGCCGTTCTTTCGCATATGCTCCGACCCTCTCCTCCGGCTGCAGCTCTCCACGGAGCATTGAGTTCCGCACTTCGACCTCTTCAACCAGTCCCAAGCTACAACCTGTAACACCACTGACAACAGCTTTGTCTCTGCGCTCAACCTTCTCCGTCATCGATAAACTCCAATCCCCACCCATTGACGGACAGAGGAAAGAATCCGGCAAACCCAACAAGCGACCTCCCTCCGTTGTTGCGATCTGCCTTCCCCTGCCATCGACCAATTCAAAGCTCCCGTTGCAATTGACAAACTTAGCAATATAACCTTAATCCCCAAAATTAGGCCTGGTTGAAGAAGTCGCCGATTGGGTTTTAGGTTTTTTTTGTCATCTTCCGTCCCTCCTTCTCACTTCGCCGGCCGAATCTTCAATGTCGTGCACAGTGGGAGATTGGGTTCTTCATCTGGCGCGGGGAAGCTTTCTATCCGTTAGCTCTTCTCGTCGTCGCCATTCAAGTTTCCCCAACCGCCAACAAAGCTGAATCCGCCACCTCCGACAACAGATCCTTCGCGGAGAAGCTCTATATCGATAATGTCCTCATATTCCCGTCGTCGTCCAAGTTTCCCCAGCCACATGGACGAATCTGACCAGAACAGAGATGACGAAGAGCAGAAGGACGAAAGAGAAAGCAGAGGTTGCAGGTCCTCTACGTTGATGGAATGGATTTTTGAGGCGAAAGAAAAAGGGGAAGAACATTGCACGAAGAGCATTAAAAAAGGGCAATCTTGACATTTGAACATATCAATTATCAATTTCCAAACAAGGGTTTTGTGTCAAATGTCAAATCCTACATATTAAAAACCTGAATTTTTAAATGAGTAATTTAGACACAAATCTTTCTCAAATCTCTCAAATTAAAAACCTGCATTTAAACCACCTTAATAGTTTTTTCCATGGTGGGTATGCAAGAAGCCCATGCCGTATTTCTCTAAAAAAAAGTGAGATGATCCCAAATGGATCAATCTTGAAGATGAAATTGCTTGAGGAAGAAGGAAGTGAAGTTTTGAAGAAGAAGGGAGGAAAATGGCTAAGTATGGAATCCAGACCAAGGAACTACTTTGGAAGCTCATATCTCTCAAACCAATTGTTGGAAATGAGGGATCAAGGCATCAATGTGAACTTCAAGACTTTATCTCTTCATTGGTATGTCATAGAGCTTGAGGAGATGCCAGGAGGGATGTTTTTCAAGACCCACAAGAAGCTATGAGGAATCCTGGAAACTGCCCAGATTTGGCTAAGGTAGGAAGCTGTTTCAGGAGGCTATCTTTGAAGACCCATAACTGGAGTTTGGGAGAAGGGTTCGAGCTGATTCAGGTTGGAGAAGAAAGAGGAAGTTTCCTTCTACAACGACAAGGTATTGGGTGAGGTCGAATCATCGAGGAAGACCATTTTCGAGGGCTTCAAAGAAGCTACCTCGCACTGTCAGTAATCCGAGTCCCACAAGGATTCCTAACTCTATTCGGATTATGTTTGTAATTCAGTTTCCTTGCTTAGTTAGGTTAGTTTCAATCCTTATTCTAGTTTGTTTGTAATTGTGTAAGCCTATAAAAGGCCTCATTCTCGTTTTGTATCATTCAGAATTGATTTATGAAGAAAAACCCAGAATTCCCAAGGTTTTGAGTTGTGAGTTGTTTTGATTTTGGTTGCGATCAAAACTTGTTGAACTTTGGCCTATTGATCGAGCAACCCCACTCGATCACTCAAAGGTAACCTTATAGCGACTGTGCATCCTCCCAGATGTGAGGATTCCCTCTCGTTTCCATCCAAATTCGTCACAAAACAAGCTTCTCAAGCTTGTTTGGTTTCCCTGTTTGTTCATCGTGAGGCAAAGGGCTCAACTCTTTGGGTTTGATTGCGCTACTCTGATTAAACACCTGCTTTGGGTGTTATCAAAAAGGCCAGGCCGTAGCGTAGGAGGACTAGCACGACTAGTAGTAGATATAGATAGATAGAGTCCTAACCGCTAGGGTTTCGTCTGGTATTCGCCGTGGCCGCTATATCCCTCAGCACCTTTTATTTCTCTGGATTTAGCTGTTTCTGGTTTTGGTTCTGGGGCGACGCACCAATTAGGGTTCCGGGGGCGCGTGATCGCGGGATTTCAATGTCTACGGAAAGGAAGAGGAACGCGAGATTGTTTGATGTGGACCGGTCATCGGTCTCTTCTGAGGGGTATTCGCTGGATGGAAAGCTGGATTCGCAGAGGCATTCGGACATACTCCAGAAGAGGGAAACTCTTCCAGTTAGGAAGCAGAAGAATGAGTTTTTGGATGTCTTGAAGAAGAACCAGGTTATCATCCTTGTGGGCCAGACTGGAAGTGGCAAAACTACCCAGGTATGTGTGTCGTTTTCATTACACGTTCTTAATTTGTTGCGATTTGTGTTCGGTTGGGGAATAAAAAAGTGGGTCTCAGTGAATTTTTGAGCTTGATGAGTTTCTAATAGGTTAGAGTGCAGAACTCAGCGATTTTGTGTATAGGGTTGGTCTGACTAAATTCTGAAGTCTTGAAAAGCAAGAGGTGGAATCCCATGGGTAATGAGAATTGCTGATTTGCAGATTCCGCAGTTTGTTTTGGAAGCTGTTGAGGTGGAAACTTCGGTTAAGAGGCCCAAGATGATGGTTGCTTGCACTCAGCCTTGTCCAGTGGCTGCAGTGTCTGCTTCGCGACGTGTTGCTGAAGAGATGAATGTCATCATTGGTGAAGAAGTTGGTTATAGCATCTGTTTCGAAGACAATATCAGTGATAAGACAGTTTTGAAGTAAGTGGCTTCTGCTTCTTGTCTTCATCTTTGTCTTTGTACACACTTTTGTATATTAACACAACCACTGTTTTAATCTTTGTTCCAGGTATTTAACGGATGGTATGCTCTTAAGAGAAGCCATGGCCAAACCACTATTAGAAATGTACAGAGTAATAATCATTGATGAAGCTCATGAGAGAACTTTAGCAACAAGCGTGCTCTTTGGATATCTCAAACTAGTGTTGGGAATGCGTCCAGATCTTAAATTGGTGGTCATGAGTGCTACTGTAGAAGCTAAGTTACAAGACTATTTTGATGGGGCACCTCTAATGAAAATTTATTGTGTGCACCACCCTGTGGATATATTCTACACAATCAAGCCTGAAAGTGACTTCCTTGGAGCTACAATTCGATCTGTTGTCGAAATACACCAACGGGAAGAGCCTGGAGATATACTAGCGTTTTTAACACGTCAGGAAGAGATAGAAGAGGCTTGCCACAGAATTTCTGAAGAGATAGGTAAATTAGGAAACAAGGTGGGACCTGTGGAAATCGTGTATTTGCACTCAACTCTTCCTCCAGACATGCAGCAGAAGATATTTGAGCCTGCTCCACCTCCTTTAGTTGAGGATGGTCCACCTGGGAGGAAAATCGTGCTCTCAACAATCACTGCTGAAACATCTCTTAGTATAGACAGGATTGCTTATGTGATTGATCCCGGTGTTGTCGAACAAAATTTTTATGACTCACGGGTTGGAGTCAACTTCCTTATGGTTTCTCCAGTTTCCAGGGATAGGGCTGATATGAGAGCCTCTCTTGCTGGTAGGACAGTGCCAGGGAAATGCTTTAGGCTTTATACTGAGAGGAGTTACAATCAGGATCGTCACGGGCAGACTGATCCCGAGATATTGAGGTCGAATTTAAGGAGTATTGTCCTGATATTGAAGAAGCTGGAAGTTCCTGATCTACGTCATTTCATGAACCTACCTGCAGAAGAGGCGTTGACGAGGGCTTTGAAAGAGTTGTCAGATTTGGGAGCATTAGATGATAAGGGGAACTTGACGGAGCTGGGGAATATGATGAGTAAATTTCCGCTTGATCCTCAGATGGCGAAGATGCTGGTTGTTAGTCCAGGCTTTAATTGCTCGAATGAGATCCTCTCTATTTGTGCTATGCTATCAGGTATGTCCCCAGTTTTCTCATTTTGTACTAAATAGATTTTTTTGTTGTGTTGAGTCCCGTCTGAATTGTGGTAGCACATGGTAGGGTTTGAAGTTCCATTCGATATGCCTTGTGCACACTGTGAGTTCAGGGTGGGAAATTGGTTTGGAATCGGTATTACCCACGTAATAGGAATTTGTGGATATCAAATTATACCCCATTTTCAGTACTATTCTATTTTGGTATTACCGAACTGCTTACCCAAAAGTGTTTCGCTTCTGTATATCTTAATTACCTTAGTTTCCTTAACTTTAGCTACATGTTTGGCCAAAAACAACTGAAAAATCTTATTTTGACTGAAGTTCTCAGACATTTTATGGTGAAGATAAACGTTTTGAGAAATGAAGCTGCAAAAATTGATGTTCTCCTAGAGTTTTCTGTCAAATTAAATAATAATTAAATAATAAAGTGACAAAATGCTGTCTGTTTCAATAGTACTGAATTAACTAAAAGCAAAATTACTAAAACATACCAATCTCATATGGCTTATATGTGGAATACCAAATTACCAATTCGGAAGTTCCATCCTAATTGAGTCGGCTACCCTTCAGGCTCTTCAACTTCATGCATGTGTACTACCACAAGCATGCAGGTGAAGACAATATGTGTCTAATTAGGTTGTGTTGTCAACATCTCTTGTATTGGTCCCATGTCGCCTCTTGTTGGCATGCACCATATAGGATTGCTAAGTAAGTCTTGATGCAGATAGTTTGCAGTTTTCTCCAGAATTATTATCTCATTATAAAGCAATGTGTCTGCTGACCAACTGTGTGCTTCCTGTGATAACCCAAATTTCTTTTTCTAGTACCCAATTGCTTTCGAGAAGGCTTTGATAAAGTCAAAGCTAGGTTCGTTGACACTGATGGTGATCACCTGACTCTGTTGAACGTCTACAATGAGTTCAAGTGCAACAGTTAGTACTTGGATTTCCTGGTTTGCTCTCAGTTCTACTACTTACACTTGCTCAGTTTATCAATCACCAGTTCGTTCTTTTTATTTTTCTTCTGTCGGTTATTGCAGAAGAGGATTTATCTTGGTGTGATACAAATTTCATCAACTATAGTGTGCTTAAATCTGCACAAAATGTGAGGCAGCATCTTGTGCAGTGCATGTCAAGGTGTGAAATCGAGATGTGCCGCACCTATTTATACGGCCCGGATTACTACGACAACATAAGGAAGGCAATACTAGCAGGGTATTTTATGCAAGTTGCTCATCTGGAGCGCACTGGAGACTACTTGACTGTCAAGGGTAACCAAGTATGTTAGCTGCTTTCAATCTTTGGCTGCATGAGATCGAGTTTCTGCATACCGAAGTATTCAAAATGGGTTTTTTTCTTTTGGCAGTACGTGTACTTACATCCATCAAATTTTCTGGGTTGGAAGCCACAATGGGTGGTGTACAATGAAATTGTGTCGACTAGCATGCACTTCATTCGTACAGCGATGCATGTTCGTGGTGAATGGTATGTTCCCTCCCTCCTTATAATGTGTTGGGTTATATGTACTTGTGGTTTTGCAAACTAGTTAAATCATGCTTGGATTTCAATTTTGTTGTGTTTAACAGGCTGGTAGACATAGCTCCTCCTCGTTACTATTTGAAGAACTTCCCCAACTCTGAAGCAAAGCAGATTCTCGAGCTTTTGGAGAAGTGGAAGGAGCAAAGGAAGTGGAAGAGGGAGGAGAGCAAGAACAAAAGATATGTTCCCAGGAAGCGGGGGGAGGAAGTAGGCTCCCGAGAAGTGCACAGGAAGCAGGAGAGGGAGGAGAGCAGGAACAAAAGATATGTTCTCTCCTCGAACTGTGCTTGGAAGCGGGAGGAGGAAGTAGGCTCCCGAGAAGTGCACAGGAAGCGGGAGAGGGGGGACAGAGAGAGGCAGTGGGAGGAGCGCAAGCGCAAGTGCGCAACAAGAAAACAGTAAGACTTGTTAATTGTTATTCAAAGCCGGGAGAGGGAGGAGAGCAGGAACAAAGACCCAAAATTAACCCTACAACTAACTCGTCTTTTGTGGATATGATATTTATGTGTTATTCATGTGGTAATTGACATCAAATGACTTGTTTGTATGAGGAGTTATTTGCAATGTGGTATTTTATAATTAATGAGTTGAAATATCAATTTGCTCTTTTGATTAATGAAGAACAAACAAACACACTGCGACCAGCTACCCCCTCCCATTGCAAACAAACGAAGGTAGATCTGAACAAAAACCCCACCAGCTACTCTTGCATGCGACACCAATGGATGGAGATCATTGACTGCTACGCTTCCGCCCATTAATTTTTCCTTTTGCATTATCTCCGGTAGGGGTGGAAATTGGGGTTATCCGTACCAAATTTTCGGGTAACCACACCCATAAATATAAAATTATGCTATCCACAAGCCGTCCCGCAGTGGGTAGTGGTTAACCATTACCCGCTGCGGGTTGGTTGTGGATACCCACAAAAATTTCATATTAAATACAATAATATTGTAATTAAATAGTGATGTTGTATTTCTTCTCGCACAAAAACAAAAACATATATAAAAGAAAGTTAATAAGTGTAAAATAAATTATAAATCGCGAATACAATGGGTTAGTTAGTGTAAATTCAGAAGAGATGGATTTGGAAAGAGATTCAAAATAACAGAGAGGCGGAGTGATATGTTAGCAGACTAACATCGTTGCATGTCACGGCTCCTAAGATGGCAACAGCAGCGAAACACAAAAGTGGCTCGATAAGTGAAGGCGCCCGCTTTTAATGAATTGATTATTCTTCACTCTCGATTATAGTCTTGTGTTGTTGGTAGTTGGTTGCATGTTGTGTTGTTCGTGAGTTCGTGAAGAAATGGAGATGAGTTTGGGTATCTGACTAACCTTTATCGATTATTCCCCTCTTTTAATGAATCGATTAATTTATCTGAGTATACCTATGGACTTGGTTTTGTTATAAAATAAACATATACCACAAGGACAATGCTTATAAAATAAAAGTATCTCACATGAACATTGCGTATTGACTTGGTTTTGTTTTATAGAATAAGTGCATATTTGATTTTGATAGCTACTTTAATTCTTAGTCTTCCAAGTTTCACGAACTAATATAACTAATGTAGTTAATGTGGGTTACAAAGTATTTTGAAGAAATAAATATAACTAATGTGGTTAATGTGGGTTTTATGGGTAAACTGTTGTGGGAGTGGTTAACCACTAACCATAAAAATCAATATTTTGCTACCCACACCCATGACCCAACCCAATATCCACAAATTATGGGTATGGGTATCCACAAAGTGTGTGGTTTGGTGCGGTTTGCGGGTTACCCACAACCCGCAAACCAAACTTCCACCCCTAATCTCCGGTGCCTTATATAATGTATATGCATTTTTTTGTCAAAAGATATCATATATTGATAAAAAGAAATAGATAGTTACATCCTGGAAACCAGTCAGGCCTGGAAATCAAAGAAGCGACACATAGTGGGATACAAAGAGAGGCCTTTTCTAGCTACCGAATGAGCTACCCTATTGTTCTCCCAACGTATAAATCGCACACTAAACCCAGGCTGGGTGCGAAAATATTGACCTATCTCTTCCAGGACAGCACCCAACCGGTTATCCCTTGTGTCGGCTTGAATAATTTTATCAATAATCACATTGGCATCGCCCTCGAACCGGACCTTCGACAAGCCACACTCCAAACACCAAATAATAGCCTCCCGAAGCACAAGCAATTCCACCACTACAGGCTCATCCATTTGAGGAAACTGAACCACTTTCGCCAGAAGTAGCGTCCGCCCCGGGGCTAGATTAACCATCCCACCAGCCGAATGCGACCCACTCTTAGTGGCCCCATCCCACATGCAAACCAACTGTGATTCGCCCATCGGAGTTGCTGGCTGAACCAACGAACACGTCATCCTAGGCTCCTGATCCGTTGGCAAGCCCACCCATTCCTCATACTGCTGGTTAAATTGTCGCATGAGCACCGGGATCCCAAATTGTTTGCCTTCAAAGACAACCCAATTACGAGACCGCCAGATGCGCCAAAGGATGGCAACAACAGCCATAACCAATGACGGCTCATGGATCAGCGCCAACAGACGTTTGATGAATAATGGGAAGGTGTGCCGAGTCAAACCCTCCCCCAAGTATTCTAGCCCTGAATAGTCCTAGAGAGCCCGTGCAACCGGACAATAAAGAAACAGATGTTCCATCGTCTCCGGGCTATCCCAACAAACTGGACACCGGGGAAGCAGAGGAACCTTTTTCTCAATAAGCGCCTCCGTAGTTGGTAGAGCTTGATTAAGAATTTTCCAGACAAAGACCTTCAGTTTCGGGGGGATCTTAGCTTCCCACACCCTGATCCAACTTGGCTTATCCATCCAACTAGCCGAGGATCGCCATCCACCCCTCCTCCTGTCTAAATCTACAGCCAGATGGTAAGCCGACTTTACCGAGAAAACACCATCTGCCGTGTTATGCTAGATAAGCTTATCGGCCACATTTTGACGCGGAAGTGGAATAGCCTTAATGGCGCTGCAGGTAGGCAGGTCAAACCATAGACTAAGCTTCTCATCAGACCACCGGCCTTCCCCTTCACAAATAACCTCCGCCACCACGGGATCACCCCCACTTGGCAGGATCAGCGGATTATAGCAAGGGGGATCGAGCTGGTATCTAGGAATCCAGTTAGAGTGGAGAAGAGAGACCGATTGGCCATTGCCAACCTGCTATCTTAAACCCATCTCCAATAACTGTCCCCCATAGAGGATACTCTGCCACCCCCATGAGGAGCGTGATCTAGCCGTCGCGCTCAGGAATGAACTTTGAGGGAAGTACTTCCCTTTATATACTTGGGCAAGGAGGGACTGCGGTTCATTGGAATGCGCTAGCCAATCTTAGCTAAAATAGCTTGGTTAAAATGTGCCAACTGGGAAAATCCCATCCCCCCATCATGTTTACTCTTGCACATATTACGCCAGGACACCCATCTAACCTTAGGATGGCCCTCCTCAGCACCTCACCTGAAAAGGGTCACATGTCTATCAAGTAGTCGACAAAGAGAGAGGGGAAGCTAGAAACATGACATAAAATGCAAGAGTAGGGCCAACGCTATGGATTTAATCAATGTTTCCTTAGCCGCTCAGGACAACGTCCGTAGCTTCCACCCCTGAAGACGCTCTATTAGTTTCTCCTCCAAATATCTGAACGGGGCCATCTTGGATCTGGCAACCAGCGTGGGTAGCCCCAGATATTTATTATGGACCCCCACTGCACCAACCCCTAAGATCGTGGCCAAGAAGTCCTGATATGGCAGGGCAATATTTTTGCTAAAGCACACTGCAGATTTCTCCAGATTAACCCGTTGGCCACTCAGTTCCTCATATTCATTCAGAACCACAATTAAATTCTCGCACTCCTGAAGAGAACCTCGCAGGAATAGATAAGAATCATCCGCGAAGAACAAATGAGAGATTCTTGGAGCACGAGGCGCCACGATCACCCCTTCTATTTTCTTCTCTGAGATCGCCTTCCGGAGGAGGGCCGCGAACCCCTCCGTGCAAAGCACAAACAAGAGGGGAGAGAGCGGATCCCCCTGGCGGAGCCCCCTAGAGGCAGTGAAATAACCCAAGGGTGTACCATTCATCAGAACCGAGAATGAGAAGGAACAAAGACACTCATGTATCCATCCTTTTCAGACAGAGTTAAAACCCATCTTATCCAAAACCGCCAAAAGGAAGGGCCATTCGACTCTATCATAGACCTTTTCCATGTCCACCTTCAGAGCCATGTACCCCTTCTTCCCTTGCTTCTTTATTTTGAGATAATGCATTAACTCATGTCCAATAAGGATATTATCAATAATCTGCCGGTCTTTTATAAACGCATTCTGACCCTCCGAGATGATCTGAGGGAGTAGACTAGCAAGCCGTTCAGCCATGATTTTGGTTATCACTTTGTAAACAAATTGACAAAGGCTGATCGGACACAACTGTCTGATTGTTTTCACAGAATCCACTTTAGGAATCAAAGTGAGCCAGGTATGATTAAAACTCCGCAGCATCCTACTAGTGGTAAAGAAGGAAACTACTGCTTCAATCACCGAAGTGCCCACAATATCCTTGAATGCTTTGAAGAACTTTCCTGTGAAGCCATCTGATCCCGGGGACTGCTTCGATCCCATTGAAAATACCGTTCTTCGAACCTCACTAGGTAGAACCTCCGCTGTCAATTGCGCATTCATCTGTGGAGTAACGCTATGGGCAATCGGGAGATTCGCCACCCTATCAGTCATATTAGGAACCTGGGTCTCCGAGGTAAACAATGTCTGGTAAAAGCTGGTGGCAATAGTAGCCTTCCCATTTTCCTCAGTGACCCAGTCACCCTCATCATTTCGGAGCCTAGAAACAAAATTCATTTTCCGCCGAGCCCGAGTGATCGTATGGAAATAGGCAGAGTTTGATCTCCTTTTTTTTACCATCGTACCCTGGATTTTTGCTGCCAGTATACATCCTCCGCTTCCCATTGACGGGATAACTCTGTTTCCAGGGACTTGATCACATCCCAGTCCACTGGATGGATAGACTTTATCCGCTCCAATGATAAAGCAGATGGCGAAGTTTCTTCATGCGCTCTCAAAGTCAAAACATAGGGGTACCTTGGATCTCCTCTTGCCAGACATAGTGGACCATAGCCCTTACCTCAAGATTATCCGCCCGGCGGGCATCAAACCGGAATAGGGGACGACTAGTCCGACTATACAGTTTATCAGCGAGAAGAAGGGCACGATGATCTGAACCCTGATCCGTAAAATGTTTGACCAAAGTCTCCGAAAATGTATCAATCCATGACTGGGGGCAAAGAGCCCTATCCAGACATTCCGGAATGCACTCCGCACCCATGTGCTTATTCGTCAATGTGAATTGATCCCCTTGATAACCAGGGTCATGGAGAGTCAAATCATGAACAAAGTCATGGAGACTAATGGCTTGAGTAGCATTCCATGCCCTACCCCTATCCTTTTCATTCTTATGAAGCGTAGTGTTGAAATCAACTATAACCACATAAGGGTGGTGGATATTCACACAAACGTCCTGCAACTGAGCCAATTGTGTAGCTCGAATAGCAACATTA